TAAGTGTTTTAAAGGTGTTTCACGTTTGTCAAGGAGCGCTACAAGGGAAACCATACCCTCCCTGTGAATTTAATGCAGCCAATGAGGTTTGTGTTCTGTTTGTTATTTATTTTACGTGAAGTTTATATTGCATTGCTGCTGCTAGTGCTAATATACATGTAGTTATATGTTCGTGTAAAGCTAACGGTTAAATGAAGGTGTTTTAAAACGAAGTTAAAGTAAACAAAGACAACATTGACACTAAGATTAAAGGGTTTAATATTGGAGTAAATTAGACATTTATGCTCAATTGTACATGTGTTTGTTATTTTATTTTACAGTTCTCACGTTTAGGAATAAAACCCTAATCAGTTCATTTAAGAACAGTTGTGCTGTTGTCATTAAATCAGAGGGAGGTACAGCAACTGTATTTGTAATTGCATGTCCACTGGACAGTTTTGTGTATTTTCTGTCCAGTTTAGTTTTGGTATGGTCCTGTTATTGTTAATTCTACTGTCAATTCTGAGGATACAGTCTAGGAGGATTCAGTTGCTCTGGAGATCTGACCTAATTCAAAACCTTGTAAAGTTCTTTTGCAGAAGGCTACATGCAGTATTGGAAAGTGGCAAATTATAAAAATCATACATATAAATTAAAAAAGTTTATATTGCAGTTACAATATTTATCATTTTTAATACCATCAAACTTAAAAAGCAGTGATTCATCTCATCATATAAGAGCGAAGAACATGACCATCTGAATTACTAAGTCACATTTTTCTAGTTTGCAGCTGTATCTGAATACCAGGCCTCCTCTCGGCTCATCATTGCACATACAATTTTTGAGACATCTTAAAACCGATGACATGAAGTAAAAACAGATGCAAATAAAAGCAAAAAAAAATACTGTGGAGTGGAAATAAAAAAGTTCAATTCCTCACCCATTATGTGTTGTGTGTGTGACGTCTCTAATGATCCAGAAACTGTAGATATGATTTGCAGAGAGAGGAAATGTTTTAAAGCAGCACATGTGAACGTGTGAAAAGATGGGTTTCCAGACATGCACGTCAAACTTGCACTAAGAGGCAGCTGAAGTGTCATAACCTCTGTTTAACTACCCTTATATCTGCCACAGAGGAAGGTGGTTCTTTGACAACTGCATCTAGTAAAGCAGTAGATTATCTGATGTTGGCACGTCCGTGGTTTGGTATTTCCTTGTAATGTTGCATGGAGGCTCGTGTGCTGAGGGTGCTGCAGCACCTCCTACCTTCAGAACTGTTCAGTTGCAACTGCTATGAAATAACAATATAATGTAAGTATTTAAGCATTTACAGGTACTTTTCAAATGTTTACTATGAAAAGTGCATACTTTAAATTTTTTATACTTCAAACATATTTTAATAAACACTAAGTTGATTATTTTGGAACATATGTATTTAAACCGTAAGCTATGATTATAAATCTATTAAATTAATTTAGTTCTGCCTTTGAGTGCATTTTTGAACAATGTTAATTGCATTTCAGTAATGTAATTTAAAAACTTATTTTGTTTCTGTTTTTTATTTGTTTTTTTATACTTGCAATATACTATAAATATTACTAAATCTACTGATGCACTTCATTTACATCTGCATTTACATTTACAGCATTTAGCGGACGCTCTTATCCAGAGCGACTTACATAAGTGCTTTGTTGTCCACTCAGAGAAAATATCTTTCCTAGTTACAAATAGTTTGGAGTGAAAGCTCGTCCTGAGCTCAGATATAGTCTTGATGCTTGTCTTCAATGCGTCTTGAAGGATGGCAGGTCAAGCCGAGCTGTAATTGAAGCTCAAAGAGCCTGAGGTACAGTCTGAGTTTTGACCAGTGCCATTAGGTAGGGAGGGGCTGGTCCATTTTTGGCTTTGTAGGCATCAGGGTTTTAAATCTGATGCGCGCAGCTAGAGGAAGCCAGTGAAAGGAGCGCAGCAGTGACATGACATGAGTGAACTTAGGAAAGATTGAAGATGAGTCGTGCTGCTGGATGAGTTGCAGGGGCCTGATGGCCCACATAGGAAGGCCAGCCAAGAGCTAGTTGCAGTAATTAAGCCTTGAGATGACAAGAGACTGATCGAGCACCTTGGTGGCCTCTTGAGTGAGAAGGGGTCGAATCCTCTGGATGTTGTACAGGAGAAACCTGCATGACCAAGCCAGGTTTGCAATATGAGCTGAGAACGATAACTGGCCATCCAGAATCATACCAAGACTTCTTGTATCTTCAGACGGGATGACCGGAGAGCTCTCAAATGAGATGGCAAAATGTACTAAAGCATAATTTAAAAAATATACTCCTAAATAAAACAATTAAGTTGATGATAATTAAAAATAGTTTTATTTGGGTATTCTTCAGCATGTTTCACATTTATTCATGTGTTCCTCCTTACAGCATAATAAAGTACAACTTAAAATAAGTTACTTTTATGGTGGAGAGCTACATGCAGAGCATTGTATGGCTTGGAGGTATTTACATAAGATGTACCCCCAGTCCATCAGATTGCCAAGACAGTGAAGTGTGATTTATAACTCCAGACAATGTTTCCACTGTTCTAGAGTCCAGTGGTGTTGTGCGCTACACCACTCCAGCTGACACTTGGCTTTGCGCATAGTGATCTTAGGCTTGTGTGCAGCTGCTCAGCCATGAAAACCCATTTCATGAAGCTCTTGACACACCATTCTTGTGTTGATGTTGCTTTCAGAGGCTGTTTGGAACTTTGTAGTGAGTGAAGCAACAGAAAATATGTTTTTTGTTGTTGTTGTTGCTCCTTACCCCTTCCATGTCACTATAACAGCACTTACAGTTGACAGGGGCAGATCTAGCAGGGCAGAGATTTCACTGACCTGTGGCAAAGGTGACATGCAAAGACAGTGCCACGTTAAAATGACAGTTTAGGGGCTCCCGAGCGGCGCAACCATCTAAGCGTTGGCCCTATCATCAGGAGATCACGAGTTCGATCCCTGGTGATGCTACAGCCATCCGTAGCCGGGAGTCCAAGAGAGCACAATTGGCCTCGCTCTCTCTGGGTGGGTAGGATGGCCCCTCCTTCTCCCCCCATCACTCAGCGCGATGCTAGTCAGCGCAGGCGTCTGTTAGCTGACGTAACAGATCTGGCAGTTGGCGCTTTCCTCCGAGCGCGTTCGGCTGTCCAGTGACGTTGCGTGAGCGGCAGTTCGAAAAGAAGCGGTGGCTGGTTTCACAGGTCTCAGAGGAAGCCTGTGTTAGCCTTCACCCTCCTAGCGTTGATAGCATCGTGTGATTGGGGGAGTCCTAACTAGCGGGTGGAATTGGAGACGACTAAATTGGGGAGAAAATCGGGTAAAATTAAAATGACAGTTTAAAGTCACTGAGCTCTTAGGTACGACTCCACCGCCAAATCAAGAACACGCAATGATCACTATGGTCATTGCATGTGCTTGATTTTATACACCTGTTAGCAATGGGTGTATAAGACACGTGAACTCAGTCATTAAAAGGGGTGTCCATGTATTTTCGGCCATATAGAGTATTAAAAACAGCAACTCACTAAAGAATTTCCTAGCATTCAGGCCTGTGAACATCTGAGTTTGAAGTGACTCAGAATCACATTCATTTATTCTTATTTTTTTTTTTCCTTACTGATTAAAAACTTTTTTGAATTGGGGTGTGCCTCATGTAAATGATATATAAACTAGCTGCGGGTAGGCTGATGCTTGATTTCACGCACTGAAGCTGATTCATCATTTGCGCTCAAATCTCCACTTGTGTGTTCTTACAAATAATAAAACAGATAAGCCAGTTGGCTTAAAGATGTGACTCTTTTAAACAATCACTATTGCACAAATTTACACGAAACCGAACGGAAGAGCTGCGCGCAAATATTCAGAATCAGGCCAATAAAAGGTCTTTTATGAGGAGACAGAAATGTTAAGTTTATTCCTAGGCAAACATTTGCCTGCCCAGAATGGCAGTTTGTGATTTTCAGCTGTTTCAAAATCAGCACAATGACAAAAGTTTTCATGAAATTAAGTGATATTTTAGAAGTAATTGTGCAGGGCCTTCCAAGACTACCACAACTAACACATGATAATAGAATTTCTATACATATTGCATATTGTTAATCAGAGTTCCTACACATACAGCATTAGAGCGTGGTAAAGAATGACAGCAAAAATCATGCAAAAAAAGCAAATAAAAAGAGTCTCTTTCAAATACTTCTTGTCAGTAGTCAGGCTGGAGATGTCCGCAGCTTTCCTCCCAATCATAGCAGCTGAACAGGGAAAAAACACATAAAAGTAAACGTGAGAGATGATAAACTGCTGAAATTTCCAGAACAGACAAAAAGCAATAGAGAACCAGTATTTGGATAAGTCGGTTTTAAGGTATTTCTAGTGATGTACGGTCTGCTATCAACCTCTACTGTACTTCTAATGTGTTTTTCAGAAATGTTTTTATGGTATTTAACATGCCAAAGAGTTTCGGGACTGTCTCACAAAGCAGGATTTATTTTTGCTTAGCCAGTTAACTTTAAGGAACTTTCCAGCAGGCACTGGATGCCAATTTGATGTCAGAAAGACGTTGGCCAGATGTTAAATTTTAGAAAGATCAGACTGATGTCAAAACCAGACGCTGGTTTGACATCAACCTCCAACGTTGCACAGACGCTGAATTGCAGTTGGGAATAAAAGTTGGATATCTGTCAAAAACCAATGTTAGGAGGACAGGGAGCATTTGGGTGTCTTGCTCAAGAGTGCTTCAGCCATGGACAGAAAGAGTCAGGCACTGAACCACCAGCCCTGTGATTAGCCAAAGGCTGTGGCTTGGTCATAGAGTCAGTCATAAATAAACCTTCAGAACAAAAAACTTTGCTCACCATGGCCAATTTCAAGAAGCTAGAAAAGGCAAAGTGGCTAAAACTAAGGCTAGCAAGAGCACCATTTTATTTGGAAAACAGCTTTTTCTCTGCATTTTGGCCTCCCATCCACACAAACAAATGTTTTAGGTGACTTAAAATGGAGGTTTTTTGAGACATTCTGTGTTTTCAAAACATTTTGATACGTGCTAGGTGGAAAATGGTGGCATTTCACAAAAATCTGTTGCTGACAACTAAAGAAGTTGACAACTAAATACTTGACAGCGCTAGCTTGCTATATCCCACAAAAAAGTCTTAAGTCCAGAGTCAGACAAGAAAAAATTAATCGACAATGTACTGGTTAAAGATGTCTGGCAGGCAACTTACTTCTACGTCTTGACACCGCAAGATGTCCAAGCGGAGGAAATTAGTTTAGTTACCTGATAACATAACCAACATTGGTTTCAAATTTGTTTGAAGTTAGACCTGCAACATCCAAGTCATTTCAAAATCCTGGTGAAGGCTCAAGTGCTAGAGCAGGTTTTTCTCTAATAGCAGGGTTGTTGGTTCGATCCCCGAATTCGCCTGTTCATGGCTAAAGTGCTTAAGCAAGGTACCCAAATGCGTTGCAGCCACAACTTTGATGCCAACCTAATGTTGCTTTTTTGGTGGACATCCGATTTTGATTTCCAGCCAAAATTTAACATCTGTCTAATGTTGGAGGTTGACGGCAAGCCAACATCAGTTTTTGATTGATATCTGATTTTGATTTCCAATTGAAATTGAAAGACTTGACACCAAGCCAATATTGGGTTTTGACATGAACCCGATTTTCATTTTCAACTAAAAGTCAGATCATAAACAGCTCTTGGACCAATCAGGGCTGGGCTTCTCACCAATTAGGGATGATGGAGATGATCCCATCCAGTGCCTTTTTTTTTTCTTTGTGATTTCTGTGGCATCAATCATAGGAAGAATATTGCATTTTTAGCAGAAGAAGGAAATCATACCACATAAATGTTAGAGATATAAAGCAATTAGTACTTTCATAAGCACTAATGTGGTAGTAGTGGTGACATTGTTGTTTTTTTACTTTTGCAAATTCTTTACAAAAAAAAGTCACCTGACTCCTCCTTATAGTTCACATGATTGGCTGTTCATCATAAACGTCACTTTCACATTAATCATAGCTTGAGTATGTAAACCTAGGTCAACACAGAAAGTTGTTAACCATCATCATTAAACAAGTTAACCGTTAGCCCATTTGCAGGTTTCATGAAGCTGGATCTTAGTAAAGAACCCTGTGTAAGTTGAACTTGCTTTGTGAGACAAGCCCCAGGTCCTGAAACACATTCAAATTCGAGGAACTGTAGGTAGTGTCCAGCATTACATTAACTGCATCCCATGTTGGTAAAGGCTCACCAAGCGTGGTGTCCACTACTCCAACAAAAGCTGTTTAATCTATGGTATTTGTGCAGTTGTTTTCTGGGCCAGTACAACTACTATGCAAATTACAGAAGTCTAATGTGGCCTCTGTTTGTATAAAAAGTAAGCATAGACAGAAAATTTCATTAATTGTGTTTGTACCTGGTCGTCCTTCAACCTCAATGTCATGTCCTCTATGTTCAAACGCCAGGCACAGGGTGCAGATGTGCATCTGGTCTGTTTTACAGAAGACCTCCAGAGCTCTGTGGTGCAGCTGGCAGAGTTTCTGCTCCAGGTCTGCAGTGGCTTCCACCAAAATGTGTCTCTGCAGAGCTGTTACAGTGTAGTGCTCTTTCACATGGGTTTCACAGTAAGACGCAGTGCAGGTAAGACATGATTTCACAGCTTTCTGCTTTTTTCCACAGCAGAAATCACAGACTACGCATGTAGGTCCAGTGCTCCAGTAAGCAGAAGACGGAGAACAGGTATTTGCTTGTCGTAGTTTTCTTGTTTCTTTGTCCTCTTCTGGTGCTAAGTTTGTATTCCTACACTTTGGGCCATCGACTGCAAGGCCAGGCTTGGTCCAGTAAATCTCAGCACACTGGCTGCAATATCCCCACCGGATGAGGAGGGGGTCTTTCAGCACCTCTTTACAAATACAGCATGCTCCATGATCCTCCATCAGAATTTCTGACTGAACGCTTCATATTCGCAACAAAAAAAAAAAAATTATTCATGATTTGGACATAGATGAAAATGCACATGGAAATTAGCTAATATTATAAATTTAAAGATTCCACTAATCAACTAATCAAAATCAAGTGTGTGATCAGATGTATATTTTAAATATAATTAAACAAACCTTTGGAGCGAAACTGAAGACTCTCCAGTGAATCCCGGAGGTTGATTCATTGATACATCACTCTTCATAGAAAGGTAACTTGGTACAGGTGAAGGTGGCCTCGATTCTCTAAATAGCAAAACAATTCCTGATTTGATTACTTTAAATGTTCCACTTGAACTTCCACTTGGCATCATTTTATAAGCACTGGTTGTATTCTTTACTGCATCAACTTACTGCCATCTCAGAATACCTACTTGCATAGAAAATGTTTTACATAAAGTGGTAGAATGGTACAAAATAACCCTTAAAGAGAGCTAGCAAACAAATGCTTGCACGTTTTTCCTAAATAAGATATGGTACAAAATATTCATAATATAATAAGATAGTTACATAAGGATGGAATTGATTACTGTCACTGAGCTGTTTCTATGCCTGTAATTGTGTAAAAAAATAATTGGTCTGTTGCTAAAACTAGATGCAGCTCTATACATGATGAAGTCTAAACAACATCATTTAAACAGTGTATTTTTAAAAAAATGTTTTTCCTTAAAATGTGTGTTTTGCAAGTAAAAACAGAAAAGAGTGCTGTTATTTTCAAATCGTGCCAGTGAAAGTATTACCTTTGATCGCTCTCGATGCTTGGGCCACCAGAAAGCATGCTTTGGGGTCTAACGATTAAAATTATTTTCTCAGTCAGGTAAAACTGCAGATGTTTAATGAAGCATGTAAGGTCTTAATATGTTCATATTACATTAAGATATTCAAGGAACATAGAATAAACAACCTCTTGTTTAATCTCTCTGTGCCCTGGATGATGACACCTCCTGGTCGTCTTTTTCTCAAACCTAAATTGAAAAGAGAAATCTTGCAAAATAAATCAAGCATTATTAAATTATACAGTTTTCAGCATATGAAACGGTCATATTTTGGTCAGACGTTATAGGCACACTAGAAGTAAACATCAAGTTTTATTTATTTATTTTTTTTTACTACTGATACCTGTTTACTCGTGTCTTACAGTAGTGATGCATTAGGCTCTAGAGTAAAATTTCCTGGTTTAAATTCTTTAAACATTTGCTGGTGTATCTTGAAGCTGGAAGTACATTTTGATGAACTACACGTGTTTTAGCAGATATTTGGGAGCAGGCTGTAGCTAGCTGGCTCAGTAGCTAATGCCTTTGGGCTAATGCAGATAGGTAACCTTACTGCTAGGGACTGAAATTATAATTACAGCAAAGGAATTTACTTATCAGATAAATAAGACTAAGCTTAAAAGTAAAATCAGCAAATTAGCTAACTAGATATGTTACCTCAGTTTGATTACTTCTTTCCAGCAGTGATTGCAACTGTGGCAGATATTCCAATAATTCAAACCTTTCTCATAATTTAAATCCCGTTTGAAGTGTTGGCTACACACTGTAAACATTGGAAATATACATAATTGCTATTTTAATATTTGCTGACCAAAAAAAAAAAACAACACTTTCATACTTGCATTACGAAATTTACAATAGGTGTAGCAAGGGCAATCTTGCCTGAACAGGAATCAAACCATCTAGCCTATTTTTTGTGTGATGGTGGGTGATGGTGTTATACTAGGGGCATCGTATTAAAAAAATCTCAACAAATCCATGGGCCAGAGAAAAAGAAATGTTTTTATTTCATCTCAACTAATGTTGTGCTATAAACCCCACCTGGCCATTGTTTATTCAAAATACACAAAAACATCAGAAGTAATATACAGGCACTTGTAGTTGACCTTAAAATATCACAGGAATACTTGAAAAATTCAAAATTTAAATGTCCCCAGGAGCTCAGTCTTTTAAACCTACCTATTTGCTTGAACTAGACACTTGGCGTCCTTTCTTTGCTGCAGGTTCATTAATATTTGGCTGAATTTCTGAGCTGCTTAGCTAATGTTAGGTGAACTGCAGCTGAAATGTAGCTAATATATTTGGTGACTGGTGTAGAATTGCGTATAATTGTGTAGAATTGAGGTGTAACCGCTTTCCCATAGATTGTTGTTTGGGTACGGGAGTCAGAACACACATTACGTTGCAGTGTATGCTGGGGACTGTAGTGCATTGTGAAACATGGTAATATTATAGAAAATTAAAACACTTTTGTGGGCCAGATAGGATTTTGTCACAAAGACACAATTAGCAGCAGTTTGAATTATAAAAAGGAACCACTACATTCCCAAGATGCTACCCAATTTGACTACAAACACTACTGATTCACATCAAGGCAACTGAAGGAACTTACCCATGAATGCTTTGAGGTTCTCTCTCTGTTGCTGCACCTTCATCATCCTCTCTTTTGCTCTCTCTTCCTCTGCTCTCCTCTTCTCTTCCACCTCCTGTAGAATCTTTCTGTCCATTTCAAAATGGTGTACACTGTTTTCTGCGACCATCTCCTCTATCTTCTCCAGAAGTTCTGTGAGCTGAATGCTATCACTTCTGTTCTTATTGTTAAGAACATGATACCTGTTCCCACATTTCTCAACCAGCCACTGAAGGGCCTTCCCTTCACATTCAATGTACTGCTCTATTGTTCTGTTTCCCAAACAGTCTCCAGAAGTGAAAAGCACTATCGTGTGATTCCACACCTTCTCAGTGAGAAGCATCAGGTATCCTTCTAACACCCTTCTGTCTCTCTCTTTAAAATCGAATTTCAAAGACACAACTAAGAGTACAGTGTGGGGTCCTGGAGGACACAGAGACACACTGAGCACAATCTCCCGTTTCAGTAACTCAGTGTTCTCCTCTACAGGTTTATTACTCCACCATCCTGGAGCTTCAACCACAGTGATGTGTCTCCCTGCTACTTCTCCCTGTCTCTTCACACAATGAGTAGTTCTCTGGAAGTCAAACTCCTTTCTGCCCAGGATGGTGTTTCCTGATGAACTCCTACCACCATTTATGTAACCCAGCAGCAGAATCCTGAGATCTGAGAGATGGTGAGTGTCATCTGTAAAAATTCAGAGAGACGAATAAATGTTTTAGATTTAACAGACGACATTATAGTGTGAGTATATTTTATGCAGCAAACATGGCTAGCTGCATTAGTTGCGTTAATAATGATGATTCCTTTGTTTCACCATGTGTAACACAGGGGTGCTTAATCTTGATCCTAGAGATCTACCACCCTGGAAAGCTCAGATCCAACACACTTGGCTCTAATGTTCGGAGGACCTTGAAGGCCTTCAATACCTGGATCAGGTGTGTTTGATTAGGGTTGGAGCCAAACTCTGTTGGGTGGTACATCTCTAGGATCAGGATTGGGCACCACTGGTGTAAGATAAATATGCTTACCCATTTGTGCTCTGATGGCTTGCTTCTGTTTCTGCACCTTCATCATCCTCTCTTTTGCTCTCTCCTCCCCTGCTCTCCTCTCCTCCAACTCCCGAAAAATGTTTCTACCTATTTCAAAATGGCATCCACTGTTTGCTGCCACCATCTCCTCTATCTTTTCCAGCAACTCTGTGACCTGAGTGTCATCACCCCTGTTCTTATTGTTAAGAACATGATACCTGTTCCCACATTTCTCAATCAGCCATTGGAGGGCCCTCCCTTCACTCTCAATGAAATGCTCTATGGTGTATGTGTTTCCTAGCCAGTCCCCGTACGTAAAAACTACTATGGTATGACTCCAAACTTTGTCACTTAGAAGCTTCATGTATCCTTCTAATGCTCTTCTATCTGACTCTTGAAAATTGAATCTCAGAGATAAGACCACTAGAAGAACATGAGGTCCTGGAGGACACAGAGACACACTGAGCACAATCTCCTGTTTCAGTAACTCAGTGCTCTCCTCTACAGTTTCATTACTCCACCATCCCGGAGCTTCAACCACAGTGATGTGCCTCCCTGCTACTTCTCCCTGTCTCAACATACACTGAGTAGCCCTGTCCAAAGGAAACTCCTCTCTGTCTAGGATGGTGTTTCCAACTGCACTCCTCCCAGCATTTACATATCCCAGCAAGACAATCCTCATTTCTGACCCGTGATGTTCGTTACCTGAAAAGAAAAAAAAACCCTCATCCACTTACCAAAGACAAAAAATGCCCCTTCTTATGCTGTTTGTTTGCTGCCACCATCTCCTCTATCTTCTCTAGTAACTCTGTGACTTTAGTTTTATCACCCCTGTTCGTATTGTTGAGAACATGAAACCTGTTCCCACATTTCTCAGTCAACCACTGGAGGGCCTTCCCTTCACTCTCGATGGAATGCTTTATGGTCATGTTTCCTAACCAGTCTCAGAATGTAAAAACTACTATGATATGTCTCAAAACTTTGTCACTCAGAAACCTTCTAATATTCTTCTATTTGACTCAGAGACAATACCATTAGAGGAGCGTGTGGTCCTGGAGGAAACAGACACACTGAGCACAATCTCTACACTAAGATCATCATATCTTTGCTTGTTTTATTTGCACTTAGTGTTGCTTTTGATACCATAATCCACACAATTCTACCTAATAGTTTAGAAAATATTATTGGGGTAACAGAAATAGCTCTCCACTAGTTCAGATCATACCTGACTGACCACTACCAGTTTCTAAAGGAAAATAGTGAAGGTTCTATACATACAATATTGTCTGTGATGTCAGGAAAGTCACAAACATGCTTACCCATTTGTGATCGAATACTGTGCCTCTGTGTCTGCACCTTCATCATCCTCTCTTTTGCTCTTGCATCCTCTTCTCTCCTCCTGTGTCCCAGCTCCAGTAAAATCATTCTGTTACCTTCAAAATGGCACCCACTATTTCCTAACACCATCTCCTCTATCTTCTCCAGCAGCTCTGTGACCTGAGTTTGATCAGCCCTGTTCTTATTGTTGAGAACATGATACCTGTTCCCACATTTCTCAACCAGCCAATGAAGCGCCTTCCCTTCACTTTCAATGTGCTGCTCTATGCTTCTGTCTCGCAGACACTCCACACTGGTGAACAGCAATACAGTGTAATTCCAGACTCCCTCACCTAGAAGATTCACATATCCTTCTAATATGTTTTTATTCTTTTCTGTGAATACACTGTCCACATCTATGACCAGTAGTATAGCATGTGGTCCTGGAGGACACAGAGACAAACTGAGCACAATCTCCCGTTTCAGTAACTCAGTGCTCTCCTCTACAGGTTTATTACTCCTCCAACCTGGAGCTGCAACCACAGTGATGTGTCTTCCTGCTACTTCTCCCTGTCTCTTCACACACTGAGCAGTGCTCTTTAACTCAAACTCCTGTCTGCCTAAGATGGTGTTTCCTGCTGAACTCTTCTCTGATGCAGCAGTTCCCAGTAGCACAATCCTTGTTTCCTGAAGAACATTACTGTTTCCTGAAATCACCAAGAAAAATAATTAAGATGTGCAGTTATTATTTCTCATTTCATACCATTAAAGAATGCCAGTCTGCGTTTGATGTACTTACTGTTTTGCACAGGTATATATATATATATACACACACACATACATATATATATATATATATATATATATAATATATATATATATATATACACACACACACACACACACACATTATATATATATATAGCTGCTGTCGGAACAAAACGGAACTCGTGATCTAAAATGACTTGGAAAAATGTCTGGTTCCATTGACTTACATTAAAAGTAAAGTAAGTTTTTTCCTTCTTCCGTAAAGTTACCATTTTGGAGAAACGAGGATTTGTTGGATTTGGCATGGACTGAACAAGTTTCTGGATGTAGGCGACATCAATGTTCAGCCACTTTTGCATCAAAGAATTGCGCAGTTCAGCCAAATTTTGTGGATGCCTTCCCTGGTGCCTTACTTTTTATTCCAGGTAATCCCACAGATTTTCAAGAAGATTTATTCTGCATTGTTACTCTTTCTAGGGTGAGAAAACCTTCCACCAATCACATCTGTAAATCGAATCATACCTGAATCTCCGTAATCCCACTCTGAGTCAAGCTCATGATCTTCTGAACTGGAGTCAGAATCAGACACTGCTGGTTCTGAAACGGAGAACAAATTCATGATTTGTGAGCATGTACATTTTAACCTTAATTTGACAGTTTTAAGGACCCAAACAGAACTTTTTATAAAAGTATTAAAAATTGTTGTTTTGGCTAGCCTGACTGAAATTGCTAATACTGGCATTTGAGGAGCAGCCCTCTAGGTTTCCCACAGAACGTTCTAATGCAGCATATATCATCTTGCTACTTACGGGTCGAGCCTTGTCTTGGGCTACCCGTGTGGGAGAACGTTCCTCCTCAGTGCAGTCCATGGCTGCAATGTGCCACACCATCAATCAGTCTTAGGGGGGGCAGTGGTTGGTTTTCAGCTCAGAACGGGAGCCTGAATGCTCACGGGTCAGAACTCCATTTCTGATCACCCCGGCCTCTCAAGTCAACTGACCAGTTTATGCAGCTGGGGGGCACCCGCCTCTCTTGTCAAGAGTGTGACGCTTGTATGCAGGAGAGCAGGTGCCTATACTGTGGGTGGGCTGGTCACGTCCATTCAGGTTGCCCTGAGCTTGAGGGAAAAGCCACTGTCCGTTGCAAGGAGGGGGGCCTGTGACGGACCCAAATCAGTCCTCCAGTGCACCTGGCCTCTTCCTGACAGACAACCTCTCGAAGTGGAATTTCGAGAAGAGACTCCAGGTATTTGTAGATTCTGGGGCAGCCAAAAATGTGACTGATGTAACCCTGGCTAAGACCCTCAACCTGCCCTTGGGTGACCTGGATACAGTTGTATCTGTTTCAGCCATTGATGGCCATCCTCTTGGCTCAGGGCAGGTAAGGCAACAGACCCGGCCCATCACGCTGCAGATAGGTCTACATATCGAGCAGATTTCCTTACCGCTCATCCAGGCTCCCAAGTAACAGCTGGTGTTGGGATTCCCCTGGCTGCAACAGCACGATCCGCGCTTGGATTTGGTAACCGGGTCCGTGGCAGATTGGAGACCTCAGTGCCAGGGCTCATACATTGTAAATCCAACAGCACCGAACAGTCAGCAGGAAACACTTCCGCTCAGCCCTGATTTGTCTAGAGTATGATCGCTGCATATCACAACTTGGCGGAGATCTTCAGGAAGGGAAAGGCACAGTTCTTACCACCACATCAGTCATACAACTGTGCCATCAATCTTATCCTGGGTACTACTCCTCCCAGAGAAAGGTTGTTTTCCTTTTCAGGCTCTGAAAAAACCTCCAGGCCTCAGTTTTTACTGAACTGGACCTGTGCAGTGCCTATAATCTCCTTAGAATCCGCCCAGAAGAGGATTGGAAGGCCATACTTATTTTGCCATCTGGCCATTACGAGTTCCCCTTATTGCCATTCGGGCTAATGAATGCCCCCATGGTTTTCCAGCATTTAATTAATGAGGTCCTCAGAGAGGCTTTGAATCACTACGTGTTCATCTACTTATATGATACTGTCTATAATCGCTCTGCAGATGAACACACAGTTCTTTCGGGTACTCCTATACGTCAAGCGGGAGAACTCCATCTTCCACACTCAGTCAGTTCCTTGGGTTTGTAGTCTCCAAGAACTGTCTGAGCATGGTTCACAGGAAACTTCAGTACTGTGGTGGCCCCACTGACTGCCCGCACAAAGAAGGCAAAGAAGGTGTTTTCAGTGGACCCCAGAAGCCCAGATTTTACTCTCTCTTATCGACCTGACTCAAAGAACACCAAGCCCAGCACCCTCTCCAGGCAGTGGGATGTGCCTCCCCTTAAGACCTCTGTTAGGTTCTCCAGTGGGGGCATTCCTCTCCTTTTGCTAGTCCCCCATGCAGCAAGACAATGACCCTAAGCATAAAAGTTGTTCTACTAAAGAATGGTTAAAGAAGAATAAAGTTAATGTTTTTGAATGCCCAAGTCAAAGTCCTGACCTTAATCCTACATAAATGTTGCGGAAGGACCTGAAGCAAGCAATTAATGGAAGAAACCCACCAAAATAACAGAGCTGAAGCTGTTTTGTACAGAGCAAATGGCTAAAATTCCACCAAGCCGATGTACAGGACTCCTCACTAGTTACTGGAAACATTTAGCTGCAGTTATTGCTGCACAAGGGGGTCACACAAGGTAGTGAAAGCAAAGGTTCATAGATATGTAATATTGGATTATTGTTCTCAATAAATAAATGACCAAGTCTATCATTTCTGTCTCTTTATCTACTATTAGGACTTGTATGAAAATCTGCTGAAGTTTTAGGTCAAATTTGTGCAGAAATATAGAAAATTCTAAAGGGTTCACCAACCTTTAAGCACCTCTGTACATACAGATCTGGCAACAACTACCACCAATACTGATCCATGTCAAGGCAACTAAAGGAACTTACCCGTGAATGCTTTGAGGTTCTCCCTCTGTTGCTGCACCTTCGTCATCCTCTCATTTGCTCTCTCTTCCTCTACTCTCCTCTTCTCTTCTATCTTTTGTAGAATCTTTCTGTCCATTTCAAAATGGCATCCACTGTTTGCTGCCACCATCTCCTCTATCTTTTCCAGAAGTTCTTTGAGCTGAATGCTGTCACTTCTGTTCCTATTGTAGAAAACATGATACCTGTTCCCACATTTCTCAACCAGCCACTGAAGGGCCTTCCCTTCACATTCAATGTACTGTTCTATTGTTCTGTTTCCCAAACAGTCTCCAGAAGTGAAAAGTAGTATCGTGTGATCCCAGACCTTCTCAGTGAGAAGCATCAGGAATCCTTCAAATACCCTTCTATCAGTCTCTTTGAAATCAAATTTCAAAGACACAACTAAGAGTATAGTGTGGGGTCCTGGAGGACACAGAGACACACTGAGCGCAATCTCCTGTTTCAGTAACTCAGTGCTCTTTTCTATAGGTCTATTGCTCCACCATCCTGGAGCTTCAACCACAGTGATGTGTCTCCCGGCTACTTCTCCCTGTCTCTTTACACACTGAGCAGTTTTCTTTAACTCAAACTCCTCTCTGTCCAGGATGGTGTTTCCAGCCGAACTCTTCCCAGCATTTCTATACCCCAGCAGCAGAATCCTCAGCTCTGAGAGGTGGTGAGTGTCATCTGTATTCAGAGAAAAGAAAAACTGAGTTGGACTGAACAGACAACATTGTTGTGTAATTATCTTATATCCATACTAGTTGCTTGTAGATTGCTCTAATAATAATGATTTCTTTGGCTCACAATGTGTAATACAGGGGTGCTTAATCCTGGTCCTAGAGATCTACCACCCTGGAAAGTTCAGATCCAACAAACTTGGCTCTCATGTTTAGAGGCCCCTGAGGGCCTTCATTACCTGGATCAGGTGTGTTAGATTAAGGATGGAACTAAGCTCTGCAGGGTAGAGGATCTCTAGGATAAGGATTGGGCACCACTGGTGTAAGATAAATATGCTTACCCATTTGTCCTCTGATGGCTTGCCTCTGTTTCTTCACCTTCATCATCCTCTCTTTTGCTCTTTCTTCCTCTGCTCTTCTCTCTTCCAACTCCTGAGAAATGTTCCTACTCGTGTCAAAATTTTGTCCACTGTTTGCTGCCACCATTTCCTCTATCTTCTCCAGCAGCTCTCTGACTTGAGTTTCATCACCCCTGTTCTTATTGTTAAAAACATGATACCTGTTCCCACATTTCTCAACCAGCCACTGAAGGGCCTTCCCTTCACATTCAATGTACTGTTCAATCGTTCTGTTTCCCAAACAGTCTCCAGAAGTGAAAAGCACTATCGTGTGATTCCACACCTTCTCACTGAGAAGCATCAGGTATCCTTCTAATACCCTTTTATAAGTCTCTTTAAAACTGAATTTCAAAGACACAACTAAGAGTACAGTGTGAGGTCCTGGAGGACACAGAGACACACTGAAAACAATCTCCCGTTTCAGTAACTCAGTGCTGTCCTCTACAGGTTTATTACTCCACCATCCTGGAGCTTCAACCACAGTGATGCGTCTCCCTGCTACTTCTCCCTGTCTCTTCACACAATGAGTAGTTCTCTGGAAGTCAAACTCCTTTCTGCCCAGGATGGTGTTTCCTGCTGAACTCCTACCACCATTTATGTACCCCAGCAGCAGAATCCTGAGATCTGAGAGGTGGTGAGTGTCATCTGTAAAAATTCAGAGAGACGAATAAATGTTTTGGATTTAATAGACAACACTGTAGTACAAGTTTATTTTATGCAGCAACAGATCCATGCCAGTTGCATTAATAATTATGGTTCTTTTGTTTACAGTGTGTTACACAGGGGTGCTTAATCCTGGTCCTAGAGATCTACCACCCTGGAAAGCTCAGATCTAACACACTTGGCTCTAATGTTCGGAGGACCTTTAAGGCCTTCATTACCTGGATCAGGTGTGTTTGATTAGGGTTGGAACTAAACTCTGTTGGGTGGTACATCTCTAGGATCAGGATTGGGCACCACTGGTGTAAGATAAATATGCTTACCCATTTGTGCTCTGATGGCTTGCCTCTGTTTCTGCACCTTCATCATCCTCACTTTTGCTCTCTCTTCGCCTGCTCTCCACTCTTCCAACTCCCGAGAAATGTTTCTACTCATTTCAAAATGGCATCCTCTGTTTGCTGCCACCATCTCCTCTATCTTCTCCAGCAGCTCTGTGACCTGAGTGTCATCACCCCTATTCATATTGTTGAGAACATGATACCTGTTCCCACATTTCTCAATCAGCCACTGGAGGGCCCTCCCTTCACTCTCAATGAAATGCTCTATGGTCGTGTTTCCTAGCCAGTCCCCGTATGTAAAAACTACTATGGTATGACTCCAGACTTTGTCACTCAGAAGCTCCATGTATCCTTCTAATACCCTCCTATCTGACTCTTGAAAATTGAATCTCAAAGCTACGACCACTATAAGAGCATGTGGTCCTGGAGGACACAGAGACACACTAAGCACAATCTCCTGCTTCAATAACTTAGTGCTGTCCTCCACAGGTTTATTACTCCACCATCCCGGAGCTTCAACCACAGTGATGTGCCTCCCTGCTGCTTTTCCCTGTCTCAACAGACACTGAGTAGCCCTGTCCAAGGGAAACTCCTCTCTGTCTAGGATGCTGTTTCCAACTGCACTCCTTCCAGCATTTACATATCCCAGCAAGACGATCCTCATTTCTGAGTGATGATGACTGAAATGATGACCTGAAAGAAAAAAAAAACTCCATGTATCAAAGAAAAAAATGTGTGGCTCATGGGGTATGTTGGTTTACTGGTGTACATGTTGACCAGAACAACATGTCTTGGTTTTATTTGATCTTAGTGTTGCATTTGACACCACAGATCACACAGTTCTACTTGAAAAGTCAGAAAATATCATTGGGGTAACAGAAGTGGTGCTTCACTGGTTCAGATCATACCTAACTGACCACTACATACAAAAGTAAAGCATGGCATCCCACAGGGATCTGTTCTAGGACCACTACTATTTTCACAATATATGTTTATACTTTTGCTGGGGAATATACTACAAATTAAAACAAATTAAATAAAATTTGGTCAGGAATGTCACAAATATGCTTACCCATTTGTGACCGAATGTCATGCTTCTTTTTCTGCACCTTCATCATCCTCTCTTTTGCTCTTGCATCCTCTTCTCTCCTCCTATGTCCCAGCATCAGTAAAATCCTTCTGTTTACTTCAAAATGGCACCCACTATTGCCTAACACCATCTCCTCTATCTTCTCCAGCAGCTCTGTGACCTGAGTGTCATCACTCCTGTTCTCATTGTTGAGAACATGATACCTGTTCCCACATTTCTCAACCAGCCACTGCAGCTCCTTCCCTTCACTCTCGATGTGCTGCTCTATGGGTGTGTCTCCCAGACACTCCACACTGGTGAACAGCAATACAGTGTAATTCCAGACTCCCTCACCTAGAAGATTCACATATCCTTGTATTTTTTTCTTATCCTCCTCTGTGAATACGCTGTCCACATCTATGACCAGCAGTACAGCATGAGGTCCTGGAGGACACAGAGACACACTGAAAACAATCTCCTGTTTCAGTAACTCAGTGCTCTCCGCTACAGGTTTATTCTTCCACCATCCTGGAGCTTCAACCACAGTGATGTGTCTTCCTGCTACTTTTCCTTGTCTCTTCACACATTGAGCAGTTTTCTTTAAGCCAAACTCCTCTTTGCCCAGGATGGTGTTTCCAGCTGAACTCTTCTCCGACTCCTCAGATCCCAGCAGCACAATCCTTATTTCCTGAAGAACATCGCTGTTTCCTGAAATAAGCAAGCAAAATAATTAAGATATGCAGTTATTATTTATAATTTTGTTCAAATGAAGAACGCCAGTCTGTATTTGATGTATTTAATGCCCTGCACAGGCATATGGTACCCCTAAACTACCACTTATATATATAAAGAACTCATGTAACAAAGAGCATTTTAGATGTTGGCAAAAAGCAATATTTTGACAAAATTAAATTGACTCATTATTGGTTTTACCCATGGTTTTTGCTTAACCTAAAAGTACTACCTCCTATTTAATTACATCAATTAATGTTAATGATGTCAATCCATGTGTCACTGAAGGCCTCCTGACTGATCATCTCAGATTTGCCCAATACGTTCAGGAAATAATATCATGATGGCTAACTGTGTGCAAAATTTCTGAGGTATAGTATATGCTTTCAGATAACATCTGCCTTTAAATACAACCCTGTTTACAAAAATGTTGGGACACTGTGCAAAATCTTAATAAAAGCAGAATGCAATAACGTGCAAATCATTTAAACCCTATATTTATTTGAAAATAATATAACATATGGAATGTTGAAACTGAGAAATTTGATTGTTTTTGAAAAATATATTCAAAAAACAACACATTACAAAAAAGGTGCAACAAAAGACTCGTAAAGTCGTGTAATACTGGAACAACTCATAACTAAATACGTTGGCCGTGATCTTCGGGCCCTCAGGCAGCACTGCATTAAAACACACACAATTCTGTAGTGGAAATCACTGCATGGGCTCAGGAACGCTTCTGAAAACCACTGCCTGTGAACACAGTTTGTCACTGCATTTAGAAATGCAAGTTAAAAATCGTTCACGCAACGAAGAAACCATATATAAACAGGATCCAGAAACGTCGCCACCTTCTCTGGGCCTGAGCTCATTTAAGATAGACCTAGGTGAAGTGGAAAAGTGTCCTGTGGTTCGATTAATCAAAATTTGAAATTCTTTTTTGGAAAGCATGGATGCCATGTCCTCCAGGCTAAAGAGGAGAGGGACCACCCGGCTTGAAATCAGTGCACAGTTCAAAAGCCTGCATTCATGATGGTATGGTGGTGCATTAGTGAACATGACATTGGTGACTTGCACATCTGTGAAGGCACAATTAATGCTGAACAATATATACAGGTTTTGGAGCAACATATGCTGCCATCCAGACGACGTCTTTTTCATAGAAGGCCTTGCTTATTTCAGCAAGACAATGTCAAAAGGATGGCTCTGTAGTAAAAGAGTCCAGGTGCTAAACTGACCTGCCTGCAGTCCAGACTTGTCACCCATTGAAAACATTTGGTGCATTATGAAACGAAAAATTACTACAAAAGAGACCCCAAACTGTTGAGCAGCTGAAATCGTATATAAAGCAAATACAAGAAAATATTTCCTTTTTAGTCTCCTCAATTCCCAAACATTTATAGTTTTTTTTTAAGAGGTGATGCAACATTTTTTCCAAAAACAATAAAAATTTCTCAGTTTCCATATTTGATATATTGTCTATGAACTATTTTCAGTTAAATACAGTTTACATGATTTGCACAGCATTGCATTATGTTTTATTCTCACTTTGCACAGCGTCCCAACTTTTTTGGAAGCGGAGTTGTATATGCAAAGACTTAAATAGGGCTGGAAATTGTTGTCAAGCAACTGTTTCTTGTATGACTGAGAATGTCAATGCAAGAAGTGATCAGATTGTGTCAAAAACTTCATAGAGATGATTATTATAATAGGACTGTAGTGCAAAAACACCTTCTATCTGATGCTGAAAAGCAAGTCACCAAATGATTCACACTGTTCAAATACACACTACTTTACTATCTTCAGGCATTGATATTTTTTACTCTATAGTTTGTTATAATAACAGAATAACTGGTATCTGCAGAATTTGCAAAAATTAACTGATTATTTAGATTTACATATTATTAATCTACTAGAGTTTTTAATTGTATAGCATGTAGTATGTCTGTTTTATATGTGATGTTACAAATTTAAACTTTAGTAAATATAGGTTGGCTTAGAAATCAACTTCAGCAATATTCTGTAAGTAATATGTAATTCTTGTGCTCAGGAGCACCAAAAAAATCATAAAATGGAAAACATGCACCTATTTTGGTGATTAAACAGCCTAATCCCAAAAATGATCCCTGACAATCTGATATATCTAGAATTTGGGCCTCAAAAGTAAAGTCTCAGCAAAGTTTGCACCATTTTACAGCAAAAATTGCTGCAGCAGTTTTAAAACCCTTGTATCTCATAAACTAATAAATATACAAGCGTGCAAAAGTGCATTTTATGTACTGAGTAAAAAAAAAGTCTTACAAAATCTGAGATGATTAGAGGAGGTTTTTCTGAATTCTGGGGAGTTAAAGCAGATTTACTCACTGGTGTTACTGATATTATTCTGAGGAGCATCGTTACTGTCACTAGGGTGAGAAAACCTTCCACCAATCACATTTCTAAATAAAATCAAACCTGAATCTCCGTAATCCCACTCTGAGTCAAGCTCCAGGTCTCCTGAACTGGAGTCAGAATGAGACACTGCTGGTTCTGAAACAGAGAACAAATTCATGATTTCTGAGCATGTATATTTTAACCTTGATTTAACAGTTTTAAGGACACATTAAACAACTTTTTAGGAAAGTATTAAATAATGGAGTTTTGGCTAATCTAACTATAGTTGCTAATACTCAGTGTTATCACACTATTTCAGCCACATTTAAACACTGACATTCTGATGGTGCTTGGTGGATTTTACCATGATTTCCCTTCAGGGGCTGCTACACTTCGAAAACTAATTTTGAACACAGTTCAAAGCCACATACCTATTACATTGTGTAATATGGAGGCAGATGATGACTGTCAAATGGCTCAGTTCACTGAGGCCAACAACTCTGCAAATACTTTTCAGAAATTAACCATTTTTACAAGGTTTTTGAAATGAGTAACAGGGTTGCTCACAGAATTAGCAAATACACAAAATGTGGTTCACTACCATACATGTTAAAGTCATGAGAACATTAAGGACATTCTAATGATTATAGTTTTAATGCAGTAATTTACTTTCAACCTATAATCGAGGTATCAGGTGTAAACCTTCAAAAGTGACCTCGTCAGACAATTTTCTTTCCTTCTTCTCATGATCTTCAGTAAATCTGAATAACTTTCCAGATATTTTATATGGGTGTGAATGTGTTCAGGTAACAGGGTTGAATGAATGTCACGGGACAAAACTAAAACGTATATTTTTCATAACTTATAATGGATGACTGATGAAAAAAGATGTCTGAAGCATGAAATGTTAAACTGATTCACACATTTATCCAAAAATAATATGAAATTTAGATATTTTAACGGTTATAAGGTAAAGTGGGTTGGGGCAGCACTTAGGTCTTAGTAATGTTTATCTGTGCACATAGGTTGGATAATGTATCTATGTAGAAAACATATTTTACCTTTACTTCCATATTTGTAATTGTAACATCAGTGGGACACCCCGATCGTGTCATCACCCATAAACAGATTCCACTATGTAAACCCTGCATTACATTATTTGTGCTCAATCTGCTAAAAAGCTTTAATGGCACTTGAGGCTAACGTTATATTGTTGTCACGTAATTTGTAGACGGTCCCTTAGCTCTCCTAGCGGTGCACAGAAATCAACGTGTTCTCTGAATTTTAAAAGGCAAACATTTTCTGACGAAAGGCCGCCGTTGATGCTCAAGGTTATCAGTACTGGGTAGTATGAGAAAGTCAAAGTTTACCCCGGTGAGAAAACACTGACCTTACGACTAACTTTTTTTCGAATTTTCCGTTCCACCTTAAATGCTGCAGTAGGTACGGAACGCTCAGGTGCCAGAGTGCAGTTGCTGTGGCTTTTAAGGTGGAACGGATAATTCGGCTAAGAGGCAGGCGAACGAGAAGCTAACTAACTTCTATAAAGGGGCGTTAATGATATTCGCGGACTTGTGTTATGAGTCCCCGCATTAGGTTGGTTTATGTAACGTGTGAAACGACAATAAAACAAACTACAGGAGTCAGAAAAGCAGCGTTTATCCCAGCTATCCGGCTACGCTGTACGAACTGTGAACAGGCCTGTGGACAACTTAGCAAGTCAAAGCTAGTGCTGAGTTTAACAACAAACCTCTCGGCTCGGTCTCGCCTCACACACACGTTTAAAGGTAACGACAGGCTGCGTACCGGTTATCCTTTCTCTTACACAGCAAGATTATCTTACCCATTATTTGACATTAATCTCCACTTGGTTTCCCACTCGGTCGTGATGTGGTAACACTGCCAACTGGCGGAGAGAAACGAAACTACTGCATCGCAAAGTGAAAGTGTGTCTGCAGCTGGTTTGCCGAGGGCGGATCTGAGCAGCAGAGTCTCAGTACCGCACCGTCAGCTCCGAACATGGCGTACATGATGGTCGAGAGGCTTAGTAAATACCGTATGTTGCGTTTTATTACAGTGTGTAAAGTGTTCAGAAGCCCACTGTGGCTGTATCCTAAATAGCTCCTTGCTCCCTACATAGTGCACTATGTGACTTACGGACCACTGACGTCATGTCGGCGCGAGGCTTTTATGCCCATATAAGGAATTCCGGGTCTAAAAGGAATTCCTCTATGAGAAAAATGAATTGAGTTTTCGAAAAATGCCCGTTTCACATCCCGTGATGACCGCAAATGTCCCAAAGCAGACACGGTCTGTCCTGTGAACATTCTTTTTCCCCAATATTACTGGATCCTCTAAATGACGAGGTTGTTAAAGAGTCAAAATCTGAATTTTGCTACATGTACATTCATTTTAGAAAGTAGAAGGATGTGTTTCACAAAAAAGCAAAGAAAACTTATATATATTTCCTTTTTTCTACAGAAAACTTTTGGCATCAGAACGCTAGCTTTACTGCTACTGAGTGCTGATTGGTTGGCGAGTGGAGCAGCTCATTGGCTGTTCGCGCTCACAGACGTCATGGACGTATATGAGGCGCCCTTATATATATATATATATAATATAATATTATATATAATATAAAGTTTTAAACTCTTAACTCTTAACTCATACTACACACACCCCTCACCACACACAATAAACGCACCTCACACCACACACAATAAGCACACCACACACACTAAACAAACCTCACACCACACACAATAAACACACCACACACACAATAAACACACCACACACACAACACATCCCACATCACACACAATAAACACAGAACACACACTCAACACACCACACACAATAAACACCCAATACACACTCAACACACCCCACAACACACTCAACACACTAGGGACACCCTCATGTCCCACGTCCCTGGTAATGAGAAATACAAAAATCACTTTTGAGACATTCAAACATAAGCATTCTTATAAGGTTTCAAAATGTAATATCAAATTATGCTATTAAAATGCTTCCATGTCAATATCATTATCAGAATAACCAGAATCCCCCAGAGCATCATACTTCCACTGTTTTCATGCATGTTTGTTGGGTCACCTGGCAAAAAATAAACAAACAAACAAACAAAAAAAAACGTATGTGTTATTGTCACTCTTTCGTCCACTCCGGCCTGTAGATTACCAGCATATAAGTCAACATCACTCATAATGTCCACCTGATTTCCAGATGATACATATATGAACTGCTCTACTAAATAATAATAATAGTTGTTTCCATAACTATGTGAATGTGTGCGCTTGCTTGATCACAGTGCATTCAGTAAAAGCTCAGTCTCCTGTGGCTTACATGCTTCATATTATTCTTACATTTAACAACTACCAAAATTCCACTTTCTTAATTATGATATAACATGACAAAATGCTTTTGGACGCCCTCATCAGCTCATAAAGTAAAAAACTATTCCAAATCTAAAATCTGAAAGCATAACATGCTGGCAACACTTGCTGGACAAATCCATGCAAATGCATCCTGAAATAATAATACTCATCACACATAATACCCGTCAATACGAAACATACTTGCATATATTTTTGTCAGGAGTAGTTTGCAGTATTCTGGAATAAACAAACCTTTCTTTCTAGTATAAGTAGCCCTTATAATTTTATACGCTTTAATCATGATAGATTATTTGTGTGACTGAAGTATCAGTTCAGTATGAAATAAATGTATTCTTAGTTTACATTAATTCCCTTGACTGTATTGTACATTCTGGTAGGAAAGCACATCAGCAGATCTGCGGGAAACCGGCAGTCACTAATTGCTAATCAGCCGAAACTCATTTGAATCAGTCCATTAGTCACTGAGAGGCCTGACTGCCAAGTGTTTCTCATGCTGCTAAATGAATAGACAGCTGTACAAATTGACACTTGTATCAGAAACTTGAGTTTGCTGTTTCATCTCTTGAAGAAATCTGTTATGGCTTAAACCAAACCTTGTGCCTGGATCATCAGGGTCAGGATCCATATGGCTGGATCATCAGTGTCAGGTTCTTTCTCAGCTTTGAAGGCCCATTTGTCCTCTGTAGCACAGACATGTTTCTCCAGTGCTTTTGCTTGGATTTGCCAGTGTTCATGTCATTTTCTGATTTGTTGTGGTGTGTATTGATAATGTAACATGGACTACTTTGTCAAGAAACTCAATGGAGTCACAGATCTGGTCAATAACTCAAAATCATATAAAAAATAGCCCTGAGGCTCAGGCTAGCACTAGCTCTCCCTTCTACCAACTAAAGCCTCCATTAGCTCGAACCTAAAAACAAAAGTACCCGCTAGCTTCCACCAATCTTCCTCCAAAATGGTTATAAGAGTCCCTTTTAATTAAAAACCCAAATTAAACATAAACCCACTTTTTATTTGGCACAAAGTAAATAAACCAAAGGCATGACTAATAATGACTAATGCCACAATAAGATCACATAGTAATAATGATGATAATATTGGTTCTTTCCTGAACATGTACACCATTCAAGAACATTGTTAACTGGAACGTTTCAGCACACATTTCAAATTCTAAACAGATTTTTTGTCTCCGATCACATAAGCAGCATCGTTTATCACTGAGGGGAAACAGCAATTTAGCTGCTTGCAGAACTCAATTTGTAGCCTGGTTTACTAAAAACTATATCTCAGGTGGATCTTGTGATACAGTGTGTGGTTGGTTCACTAAGTCCTGCTGGGTCCAGCTTCCAGTTCATTCATTAAGTAAGGCTGCTTCTTCTTAAGGATTTTGTAGAATTCTACTTTCACAGCTGCTCCACCTGAGTGGAGACCATCATACAAGATCCTCATTTGCTCCTGGGATGTTTTTTCTCTTCTGATCTCATTGTACATTTCCTCACCAATCATTTCCTTGCTTAATAAATGGTCCACTATCTCCATCACACAGGAGACTCTCTGAATGAGCGTTGTTCTGTGTTCATCCACAAATTTAACAGCTGAAATACAAATAAACATCACAATGACACTTAAATAATGTACACTGTAAGACTTTTTAACAAGATTTCTCCCGTTACTTTGCCTTCAGAAGATCTATTTTCATGCACATGCCAATAATGTAACCTTTTGTAAAACTCAGAATCAGAGAAAATCAGAAAGTCTTACCTGCCGGATCCACTTCAGGTGAGGTTGCCTCTGTACTGTTATCTGCTGTACAAAGAAAGAAACAGTGCTTCAGCACTATGAAATGACACTAGATAATATGACCCTCATTAAAAAAAAAAAAGGCATACAGGTTCATACAAAATTAAATAGCATCCAAAATGTATAAACACTTATCCACCTGTAAGAAAGACACGTCGGGGTTTCCACACCGCCTGACCATCTTCATCCGAAAGACCTATTGTGACATCCTCAGTGTTGCAGTCAAGGAACACCTCAAATGTGGGGTGAAAGTTGAGGCAAAAGTCACGTTCAAATGTCTCAACCTAGTGGGGAAAAAAACATAACACAAAAGACAATTCCAAGATATTTAAATATATATTATTTTTTTATTTTATATATATATATATATATATATATATATATATATATATATATATATATATATATATATATGATTAAGCCTTTACAGTAGTGACATACACTATAAAATAAAATGTACCTCTGGTTGGTATTCATGAGGGTGACAGGATGGTTTGTATTTTCTTCCAGGGGTTAACTGGCATTTAGAGGTGGTCTGAATGTATTTGTGGCACTGATGCTTTTTCATCACCTTGAAGGGAAGAAAAAAATGTTATTGAGACCTGAACTTGTATACACCTTGTTTAACACTGTCTTACCTTACATATTGTTTGTGATCCATTCAACGTCTTTGTTTGTTGTAACTCATGTCCACATGTGTGTGTAGTAAAATGCACCAGCATATAGAATTGGAGCTTTCTGTGTGTTTTCTATCACTGTATAAAATAGGCTCCATGCTGCCTTTAGGATGCACTGTAATAATGTCTAGGCAAGCATGCACACATGTTCAGAATGCAATTCACATCGCCAAGACTATTATTGGTTTGTGTCATTAGTATAACAATTAAAGGACACTGGGTTAATGTCAAGTATATTACAATTCATGTTTTTAATTTTTAATTAATTTTAATTAATTAATTAATTTTAGATTTTTCAGCTGTGTTAGATCTTATTCCCTGCATGGTAAATTAAAAGCAATAACAGCATTCAGAAATCACATTATTAAAGAAGAAGCTTTATTAAGATCCAGAATTAGTTCTTCTTTGCATTAGCATTAAGATTTAAAATATATAGAAAAATATAGCCTAGCGCATATTTTGGAGGAAATTATGCTCACCATCAACACAGGAGTGTCTAACAGGGCACTTTTACTTTACTTTACATGGGAGCAGCATGTGTTATGTCTTCCTTCCCAAGAATAAAACAATGCAGTGATTGATTAAAACAGATTACCTCTTCAATTGGTATGTTTCCTGGCAGCAGGTGGATGTATAGTATATTCCACCTTTGCCTGACAGCCAGTGTTTTGTAGAAGAATAATACTTGGGCATTGATGGGACAAGGCTTGAATAGTAGATCTCTTATGATTCCAAGGGGTGAGAGACCTTGGATGTGTATGATCACATGTGTGGATGTCACTTGCAGGGGTGTAATGATCTCTATATTATCATCAGTGAAATGTGCCACAGCCTGCTTGACCTTATTCTCTTCTGAAATGAGAAAAAACAAAAACATTTAAGAATCTTGAATTTTAAGGTTTTATTTTGGAGGCGCTGTGGCGCAGTGGGTAGCGCTGTCGCCTCACAGCTAGGATGGCCTGGGTTTGATTCCTGGCTGGGGAGCCAGGGTCCTTTCTGTGTGGAGTCTGCATGTTCTCTCTCTGTCTGTGTGGCATTCAGGCCAATTGGACGCGCTAAATTGCCCCTAGGTGTGAATGTGTGAGTGCGATGGACTGGTGACCTCTCCAGGGTTTATCCTGCCTTCTGTCCAATGACTGCTTTGATAGGCTCCAGCTCCTCCCATGACCCATAAGCATAAGTAGCTTAGAAGGTGTGTGTGTGTTTTAGTGTAATTTCATCTACATAATTGAATTCAATATTCACATAACAGTAACTACATTTGTTGGAGTTGCACGATTAAAAGCTTTTGGCAGAATAAAACAGGGCTCTCTCTAAAACGTACAACATCCATTATGGTAACATTATAACAATATAGGATAGGATATTTTGTTGTAGGACTGTTCTGATCCTTCAGAGTACTAATGAGGAAAGAATACCTGCATGCCTCTCTGCCCCAAAGGAGTTCTACAAATACACCACCCATTCAAGAAGCATCTGCCAACAAAGTATTTTTTTTTATTGCAAGCAGCACCGACTTTACGCTATCTGTCCATTTCAAACTAGCCTTCTTCTGTCAATCTGTGCATTTGCAGCTATCCTACATAAAAAGAGGCATGGGTCCATCTCAAGGGTAAAGAAAAGAAAACAAAATCAACAAACAAGCAGCAAATAACCCAAGAAAACACTGTACACAGACCCAAATGTACTAGCCCACTAGGATTATTCCCCAACTTCCTGATGGAGGTCCACACCTGCCTGAAGACCCTATTGAAAGATTATATCTGTCTTGTGATGTAATTGGTTTACTCACAATTGAAGCATAAAATTTATAAAATGTTATAGAAGTAAAAATTAACTTACCAGTATCATCAAGTATCTCACAGTGTGGGAGGTGCAGATGACTGATTGGACCTTTGAAGCACTCAATGTTGTACAGAGGACCTGCAGGTGTCATCTGGCCTAACTGTTGGGTATCCCAGGAGTCTATTCTATATAGCACCTTCCCTTTACCCTCCATCACAAACACAAGATTAGTCACTTTGCACTGAAAGTGACCAGCATGAGGGCACAAAAACCTAAAAAACAAGTGAAAAACATGTCAAATGTGATCCTTATCAATTATCAATTGCTTGTCCTCCTTGCTTAGAGCAGAGATTCTCAATCTAGACCTGAGGGCCAAGCCAGATCAGTTGTTTTTCTGGTCCAGCTCCTCACACATGGACCTTGGATCCGTTGCACCAAGAGGTCTAAACTAAGGTGGTCTTATCAGTTAAGACAGTCATAGCTAAGACTAGTTTTCAGAGTGGACTCTATGCCAGTTGCACCAACCAGAGTTGTCCAAAGTACACCTTGGCACAACTAAGACACAGGCCCAACTAAAGCTAACTTTACACAGTGAAACTTACCTGCAAACTTAGTTCAATTTAGTTCAATTCAATTTTACTTTAGTGGCATAATCTAAAGCATTGCCCCCAAATCAGCCACAAGCTGCAGGCAGCTCAACTTTCAAGGTTCATGAATTGCACACCTGAACATTATCACATCAAAGTACACCACTTAAAAGGATTGGTTATGAATGGTGTCAACACGATGGACAAGAACATGAAATAGAAGAAGGTCTTTTGGACATTGAAAAAGAGATTCTTCTGACTGCAAGTTTGGTGGCTTTTCATTTTGTCAGTTAACTAAGTGATGACAATAAACAAGAGTTTCTCAAAGCTAACTAGCCATCTAATGGTAACAGCTGTTTAAATGGCTACTTGCAGTAGAGTTTATTCTAGTTTGTTAGCCTACAGTTACGTATTTATCTAGATTCATTTTCTCCTCTCTTGATGCTCTAATTTTACACAGAGCTCAGATTCTTTTAGAATCCAAATGAATGACAATTATTACAGAAAGGGTAACCAAGATGCTTGATGAACGTGTTGTGCTGCTAAGACAAGATGAACGAGACAAGTGCAACTTTGATTTTGTGTAACTATCAAGTTACATGGAAATTATATTACAAGCAACTTACAACACGCAGCTAGTTGCTTGAAAGTGTTACAGTGTAAAGCCAGTCTTAATGGTGCAAGTTACTAAGCAAAACTGCTGTGCGCGTACCGACAGCTGGCATCTTGCAAATTGATGCTACTCAAATCCAAAAATCAGAAGTAATTTCACCAACAGTGAAATGTGCATATTGATTACATTACATCTGCTAAAAGTCACACTGGTGTATAAACAATTAAACAGCTTAAAAAATCTACATGGGAGGGCAGCTGAATAGTGTTTCTCCACCTTTTTTGAACTACAACCATCCAAAGATGTATTTTAAGATGTACCATACTGTTGGTGCGAGGGTCTTAAATTAACTCACACAATAAAGGACTCGACTCAACACCCAGCTAAACTTTTGGGAGCAGGAATATACTGTATGAACTGCTTTGAGGGTCTCTGAGGTTTAGAGTGAAAACACATTGAAACATTTCCAAAACAACTAATTTAGAAAACGTAATGAAATAATTACCTGTACGAGGTTGTGATCTTGTCTCCTTGACTTTTTTCAACCATTTTAGGATTGAATATTTTTGCAACCGTCAAGAACAGCTAGAGTACATTAAATTATATTCTAGATACTCTAAAGTTAGAATAAGGATCTTTCTACAGTGATTTATCATTCAGAATTATACCCCAACTACACTACTGAGCAAAAGTCAGAGACCACCTTCGCTTATTTACGTTCCAGTTAAAACAACCATTAAGTTCATGTTTCAGGAGATATTTCTGAGGATATTAGATATACAGACCCTTCCACAATTATTGGCACCCCTGGTACAGATTTGAATTAGCTTAATCTCACACTGAAAAAATGAAAAAAAAAAATCCAACCTTTAATTGAAGTAAATTTATTCTGAGATAAAAAAATATATATCATTGCTGTTGGAAGAAAAACTTACATTATGTGTAAATTTCATAACCGATGGACCAAAATAAACGGCCCAAAATGACTTGGAAAAAATTCTGGTTCCATTGACCTACATTAAAAGTAAAGTAGATTTCTTCTTTTTTTCCTTCTCCCTGTAAAGTTATTATTTTGGAGATACAAGGTTTTCTTACGATAACAGCGAGATATATATTTTAACAAAACCATATGTGCCACAATTATTGGCAACCCATAGAAATTCTTAGAAACAAAATGTAAAAAATGTAACTGAACATTTTTTCCATTTATATTTTTTTACACTTTTTTAAGTTGATCAAAGTGTCTATGAACATTCAAGCCATGATCCATGACTTCATGTTTCACTGTGGTATATACATGTGAATGAATATTTTTCAAACTCACTTTTTATGTTTGCACTTTAATAAATTTACATTTAAAGCTGATGTATCCCTTCAAATCACAATTCACAAATACAATGTGCTTTGACTGAATCTAACTCCATAGTTTCTGTCCATCCTTCCACTGTGAGAAGACAGCTCAACACTATAAGTCTGAAAGGATGTCTAGCAGCCAAGATGAAACAAAGAAGCTGCTGGTGTTCTCAGAAAAACAGACTGACCACCCCGGAATCCAGACATCAACATCTCTGGATGTATTTGGGATTACTGGATCATGAGAAGCAGAAAATACAGCCAACTTCTAAGATTGAACTTTCGTAGAAAAATATAAAACATAAAAATGAATTAAAAAATGATGAAAAATCAATACTTGACTGTAAATGAAATGATGTCTGGTGTCTGACTTTTGCACAGTACTGCAAACATAATAAGACTGTCTTGTTTTACTAATTATAAAATGTCTGTTTACTGTTCAGTACGACTGTCACAATCTTCTTATACATTTATTAAATGCTATTATAACATACATATTGTAACATTTTCTCAGTAAAGCTAACTATTTTCTATTCATATATTAATATTTACCAATGTGCATATTAAAGACAACTTCATTGTTGCAGTTGTTTGATTAAACATTGGCTAAATAAATGCAGAAAATATCAACTAAATAAAATATTGAGGGTAAGTTACTCTGATTGACCTGAAGAGTCATCACAGAAATTATAATGGATAGTAAAGTAGCAAAGCTACTAGTTTATTTATTGCCTTGAAAATACCAGTTTACACTGTTGCAAAAACAAACATTTCTCTCAATATTATTATTATTATTATTATTATTATTATTATTATTAATAGCTTTAAGAGCTCCATATGCAGTGTTTTAGCCACAGTAACCCTGTGCACTCACATCTTTAAAGTCCGGCTGCTTCTTTTGAAGGATTTCATAGAATTCTTTTTTCACAGCTGTTACTCCTGAGTCTAGAGCTCTGTACAAGATCCTAATTTGCTCCCGAAATGTTTTTGCAGTTTTTATGCGGCTGTACGTTTCATCAGTGATCATGCCTTTCCACTTTAACCGGTCTGCAATTTCCATCACTGAGGAAACTCTATTCATGAGATTTTCTCTGTTTTCATCCACAAAAAAACTAAAAAAACCTGAAAAAAAGAAAATTAAAGTGAATTACACATTTTTAACTCATGCATGCATTGAGTGTTGGGGATTTCACTTCTTCTAGACACCACAGTGGACTCTGCTCTGTTTCCCTGCACCAACCATACCTTACCGACATGAATTCTGACAGAAAACCAATTTTCAGCACAAACTATATTTTGGTTCATTGGATACTTTATTTTGAACCCTCTGGGGTCTAAGGGCATTTTCTCAATTTCTGTATATCTTCTTAAATTCACTTATAAAGTCATCACTTGCACATAACATGATCCCATATGTTTCACATCAAAACGCTCCGTTAACTATGTTACGACTTTCCAAAACTGCAGCAGCAACTTCAGTGGCTGTAAACTTTCTGCTGGCTGTTTCACAAGTTTCTCCAAAGGCCACTTAATAAAGGGCTGCGTTCATTTTCGACTTGGCCTGACTTGATGGTCAGTGTGAGCTGCTGATGACAGCAGAGAGGAGTATGAAAACACTGCTGTGGACACATTATACTTTCCTTACCATGAGCTCACAGCAATAGCTGATTTTCCCGCGTGTGCTTTATTGTTGCAGACGAAATTGATGTGCTTGAAATAAATGCTGGAAATAAAAACTGCAGCGTTTGGTGACCAAAAAAAATAAGTGGAGTTCCCCTTTAATTATAATTAACAAATAAGTAAATAAATGAGACTTGACATGTTTATGATTGTTCTGTCTACAATTATGACTCATTGACTCTTGAAAGAATCATACAAGTATGAAATAGAAGAAAATAGCATGAGAGATTTTATTCTATTTAATTCATTATTTTATTTTTGTGTGTTTGTTTTCAGTGGGGTTGACAGACTTTATTATACTGTTATTAAAAATATTTTTGGTTTATTGTGTTTTATTTGCTTTGAAAAGTAAGAAAAAACAAATGAAGCATCTTCTAATTTAGTGAATTTGTAGGCATGATCAGAGTCCTCTCTTCTCTGCAGGCCAGTGAAATGATATGATTATCAAAGCGATGAATAAAAAAATACATATTAAAGTCTGTTTTAGAGTTTCATGAATTGCATAACATTTTAACATGTGGTCCAGTTTAAGTTTGACATTGGCTTTTTTTCTTTCTTTCTTCTTTTTTTCTTCTTCTAGCACAGGTGTTGCTCAACCAGACGCATCAACTCTCAGATCAGTTTGTGAACTTCCACTGAATAAACGTTTGCTTTCTTTTTTTTTTAAGCTATTAAAATGTTGTGAGGTGAGAAATGTGATGTAATAAACAATCCATGTATAATAATGGGCTCTTGGACCTGAAGATCATTATTAAGTATTAATATTATAGGCCATTTTTAATTAAAGTTTAAGTTTGATATTGGGGTTAATTTTCCCTTTGAGTCAGTAATTAGACTACCATGGTGAAGTAGTTCACACACACAAAGAAAAATAATTATACAAGTGGAAGTTCACCTGCTTTTTTGTTGGAATTTTCTGTTCCACCTTAAATAATGCAGCAGTTACATTCTGGCACTTCAGGCTAAATTAGAAAAAGAAGCCAACGACTAGGAAATTAACTCTAAAAAGTCTCCTATCCATGTTTTATGAAATTTGTAACCCACTTTAGCCACAAAAGCTGAACTTTTACCATCTAATCGGCTGAACTGAAGGTTTTTTTTATTGTTTTTTCTTTTTTTGATTAAGCAAGACACACTACACAATGCACAAAGATCAAAGAGCAATAGTGGAAATGATGCTACAACACAATCAAACACAACAAGCAGGGAGAGAGAGAGAAAAGAGGTTTAAAAAAAGGGAAAAAACAGTCAAGGAAAAAAATACAGAGAGCACAAGGGAGCAAAGTGAGATAAGTTTAAAAAGCGAGGACTGAGATATAGATTTATACAGTATAATTTATTTATACAATATATAATTTATAGACGCTTCAAGTGTGTATATAATATTTAACCCGGCTGAGCTGAAGGGTTTAACAGTGAAACTGAAAGTGTGTTCTGATGTACTCACTCCTCTCAGTGACCCGTTTCAGCTCCTCTGTAATTCGATTGCAGCCGATCGTCCTTAAGATCTCCATCGTCACTTGAACAGCGTTCCTCGTGGTGAAGGTGTTAATGAGAAGGTCTGCCAGGTCCCTGATGTCCCTCACCTTCTCCATGTTGTGGAGGCGCAGGCGAGGCTCCATCTCAAAAATATCACATAGTTTGTTCTTGAATTTCTTCAGATCATCTTCATCCAGGTGGTACAAAGCCCAGAGCAGGTTGTGCCTGATTCTCCTCTCCACGTATTGTTCAATCTTTCTTTTTCGTTCACTGCTCTTTAAACAAACAAACAAATAAATAGATAAATATTTACAGTAAACAATGAAACATATGATTTGTAATATTAACCAAAAAAAAGAATAAAAAAATATTTGTACTTAATTGCCTGGAATGAAATGAAGCATGATGTGTGACTTTTACACAGTACTGCCTACAAAATAAGACTGTCCTAAATTGTGCTACTAAACTGAAATCTTGTACATTTTCTAATATACATATTAAAGCCAACTTCATTCTTGCATTTATTTGATTATATACTAAAACAATACAGGAAATGTCAACTAAATAAAACATATTGAGGCTCAGTTACTCTATTTTTCACTCATTTTCACTGCACAGTAGTCCAGTTTTGCCATTTGTCCGTTTTGCTGTGAGCAATGAATCAGATCTTGTATGCATTCAAAGACATTCAGCCTGTTTGTTTTGTACTTTATCTCATGTGGAACTACAGCTCCAAAATTAGCTCAAACTTAGCTGAGACTGAAGGAAGCGCAGAGCTTTATCTCCTGAAAACTCCCCGCATCCTGTACAGTCATTGAATTTAAATTTAATGACAATCAATTTCCATGTAAATCATTTGTACTTGTCTTTTTTGTTCAGTGTGTGCAGCTGTTAAAGTACAAGCCTAAAGAGGCCAAACCGATTAGCTATCTTATCTCCTAACTGTCGATACTTAGTAGGCCTAGTTACCAACTGACCGACAGAACCAGCTCAAGCTCAAATAAAAAAAAAATTACTCACTGCTGCCCCCTAAAGCTGTTACAGCACCAGTCAGAAGTTATAACTTTTGTTGTCTCAGCAGTGTTTAATGCTTTGTCTTATTTACATGTTTTTGCTTCAACCTAAAGGTAAAATGCACCCATGCATGTGATCAGATTATGGAAAAATTGTTTATCGATTCATTTTTCTTACATTATATCTACATTTTAATATACAATGATATTTATAGCAATTTACTCCTCAAATAAGTGAAGTTCCTCTTAAAAGCTCCACTCAACTTTGCTGGGTCCAGCTTCCAGTTCATCCACTAAGAAAGGCAGCTTCCTTTTAAGGATTTCATAGAATTCTTCTTTCACAGCTGTTCCTCCTGAATGGAGACCATCATACAAGATCCTCATTTGCTCCTGAGATGTTTTTTCTCCTCTGATCTCATTGTACGTTTCCTTGCTAATCATTTTCTTGCTTTCCAAATGGTCCACTATCTCCATCACACAGGAGACTCTCTGAATGAGCGTTGTCCTGTGTTCATCCACAAATTTAACAGCTGAAACACAAATAAACATCAGAATGACACTTTCAATAATGTACACTGTGAGACTTTAACGTTAGGCTTTATCCCGTTACTTCAGAAGATCTATTTTCATGCACATTCAGTAACGTAATCTTTTGTAAAACTCAGAAACAGAGAAAATCAGAAAGTCTTACCTGCCGCAGCCACTTCAGGTGAGGTTGCCTCTGTACTGTTATCTGCTGTGGGAAGATAGAAACAGTGCTTCAGCACTATGAAATAGCACTAGATTATATGACCCTCATTTTAAGAAAAAAAGTCATACAGGTTCATACAAAATTAAATAGTATCCAAAATGTATAAACACTTGTCGGTAACACTTTACAATAAGGGTACATGAACTGGCAGTAATTAAGGCATTTACTAATGAATAACTAATCAGAAAGTAATGAGTCATTAATCAGGAACAAATGAATAAGTCATATATTAACAACCACAACTAATGCATGTACTAATGAATGAAGATGAAGGTAATAAAGGCTTTATTCAGTGCCTGAATTAATTAGGAATTTATGTGTTAATTAATGTTGTCACAAGATCCCCCTGAGACACAGGGCTCTGGAATATGATGCCTATCAAAGTCAACTGTTTTTTTTTATAGCTCCATCCTCTCATCATCTTGTCCTTCTTCTTCATCATGTTGTGTAAGCAGCCCTTGTATTTGCCTGTTTCTGTCTGTCAGGTCTTGAGTTTATTGTTTTTGATTTCTTATGTTACCCCGTCTGTTTCTACCCACCTAGTGACTGTTTAGTAAAATTAAAAGCTCACACTGACATTGTTTTGCAACTAGTCCTCATTTGTGACAGTTGCCAGAGTTTTAATTCATCTTTCATGTTAATAATATGACTTGTTTTAACTCCAATATTGATACACAGAGCCTCATGAGGGAGTAGTTTAGCCTACAGTTACCACTGAACTCAGAAATGAGTTCATTATTGGAGTGTCTTTCTCCTGGGGTTGTAAGAATCCTTAATTGTATGCACATTTTTGTGCTTTTGCTCATCTAGTACACCTGATTGAACTCAACTGCTAATTCACAAGCTCCTGTTGTGCTGGTTGAGGTGTGTCAGAGTGAGAAAAATACAAAACTATGCAGTGTCAATTCTCAATTCACTATAAAGAAAACAGTGATTCTTCATAATGAATTCATGTTTGTGCCCCTGAAAGTGATGAGCGAATCACAATTTATTACTCATTATATACTAGTTCTTCATGATGAGTTCATGAGCTAATAAAATAGCAGGGGTTAATCATTTTACTTACCAAACTGACAGTCATTCTTTTGCCCTCTCAAGAACAGTGATGAAGGATAAGTAGCTACAATATGGCTGATATGAAAACATGACATTGACGAAATTCACAGGAATAAAAAAGCATATTTTATTATCATCTTATGACTTCTACACAATACACAGAACCAGAGCACGTGAATCTGTCACTGTAACACGGAAAATGAAGAGAAACCAATAACATACTGGTTCTGTAGTTCCACAAACATCTGTAAAACGGACAGAACTGCTAGCTAATTAAAGTCACAAAGATATTCATACTGCAGCGGTGTTTCCACATAACTCTCACAAGCTGAAGATCGAGTCTGTGACTCAGCTTTACTGAAAAACTCAGAACGGAGTACAAAAGAAAGGGGAGAATATGGCGCTGGGTTAGCGCTCAGCTGAGCGCAGTTAGCGCGCCCTCTCGCTGTCTCGACTCAGTCTGTTTACTACTAGGCCCTGTGAAGCACTGCCAGCAGACAGAATAGACGTGCCTGACGCCACATATTACTACTACAATCACACGACACTCGTGAGAAACACAAACACCCTACTATTAAAACCAAAAAGGTTTATTGCAAACAACTAAGCACCAAACCAAATATTTAAGCTACTTTATAACGAATTTAGAAATAATAGTTCCTGCAAATCCGTTCTGTTTCACCACAGATAACAGCTGCATGTTTTACACCTTAGTCTAAAAAGAGGTGAGGCACAAACATAAGCTACATACTAGCACTCACAACACTCAGACAACAATACCATGTGTAAATATTATATCTGCGATGTAAATTACGTATATAATACAGTATGCATATGCATAACTCACCTTTAAAAGTAAGAAAAATGCGAAATATTGCAAAAAGGCGAAAAGAGAAATATTGAATTTTTTTTTTATTTCAATTATTTTCATTCGCTTCTCTTAAACGTTGTACTAGAGATATTCACTCAAGACTCTATGGCCACTTGACATATAACATTTAGCACAATTACTGCCATTTACTGGTGAAGAAAAATAGCAGTAACTTCCAGCTGCGGAAACAGTTGAAGTGTTACATTGCAAAATGCTGTGTTTCCACTAATAAAACATTTAGATATAGCAAATTTTTGAAAAGAATAATAGTATATAATATAATTATAATAGTAAATAATATAATTAATGGGAAACACATTTTCATTTTCTGAAGGTGGTATTTCTCAGAATAACTGTGGCATATATTAAGATAATTCACAGTTTTAATTAAATCAAACCAAATCATAGTTTGCAGTTTATTAAACATACAACAGTTTATGTTTCTGTTGTAACAGTATGACACTGCAGGATGACATAGGTAATCATAAATTGCATGAATAGAATGAAACTAACAGCTTCTAGCAGTTCACCAATGTGTACTAACATTCTTCTTGTATGCTCAATTAACACATGAATTCCTAATTAATTCAGGCAATGAATAAAGCCTTTATTACCTTCATCTTCATTCATTAGTACATGCGTTAGTTGTGGTTGTTAATATATGACTTATTCATTTGTTCCTGATTAATGACTCATTACTTTCTGATTAGTTATTCATTAGTAAATGCCTTAATTACTGCCAGTTCATGTACCTTTATTATAAAGTGTTACCCACTTGTCCACCTGTAAGAAAGACACGTCGGGGTTTCCACACCACCTGACCATCTTCATCCAAAAGACCTATTGCACATGAATCAGATAAAACCACTTGTGTTGGGGAAGAAGAAGATGTGGAAAACTGCTCTTTATGGAATGGGCACTTCAACAGTGCATCTTCACAAAGACTAGAAATGCCCAGCACAGACAGCACTGTCCCAACACGAAACATAGAAATGCAGGACACAATATATGAGGAGGGTAGACACTTCTAACCAGTAGTTCACCACAAAACCCACCCTCCTCAGACACAATTACTCTAATAAACACAACTATATACAACCAACTCCCACACAGTAACAACAGTCCCTTTTTTACCTGAAGTGTGGCATGAGGGTCACTTTGCGTGGCCAAACCTGCTAAGCTCTTCACGCAGCACAGAACCTGTGGCGGCCATTTGACTCCAGCTCACACCTCTGATTTTAGCTGAGTGGTGTTCATAAAGTTGTGAAATGCAGCAAATTCACAAAACCAATCCATGAACTCACCAATCTTGAGTTTGAGGACTTTTATCTGTTCATACTCCTTCTTCTCTTTTGCGACCTGTAGAATTTTTCTGTCCATTTCAAAATGGCGTCCACTGTTTGCTGCCACCATCTCCTCTATCTTCTCCAGCAGCTCTGTGACCTGAGTGTCATCACTCCTGTTCTCATTGTTGAGAACATGATACCTGTTCCCACATTTCTCAACCAGCCACTGGAGCTCCTTCCCTTCACTCTCAATGTGCTGCTCTATGGAAGTTTCACCTAAAGAGTCTGGGTAAGTGAAGAGAACTAAAGTATAATTCCAAACTCTCAAACTGAGTAACTCTAAGTTCTTCTGTAGGTCAAGTACATCCACATTTTCACATTTTTTGTTCAGATTTATCACTAACAGTACAGCATGGGGTCCTGGAGAGCAAAGAGACAAAGCAAACTCCATTTCTTGTTGAAGTAGCCTTGACTGATCAAGTCCAGTCTTTGTCTTTCTCCATCCTGGAGCTTCAACCACAGTGATGTGTCTCCCTGCTACTTCTCTCTGTCTCTTCACACACTGAGCAGCTCTCTTTAACTCAAACTCCTCTCTGTTCAGGATGGTGTTTCCTGCTGAACTCTTCCCAGACTCTGCATTTCCCACCAACATAATCCTCATTTCTGAGAGGTGGTGCTCAGACCCTGCAACAAAATAAAGATATCATCAAAGACATCATTAAAACTGGATAGCGTGAAGAAGTTTTTCAAATGCTTTGAAATAAATGTAAGGCTTCAACAAACAGCTTTGTTTAGGATCAGTTAGTTGCTTCATTATGACTTAAAAAGAAATTAAATTAAATAAATTACTAAAATAATAATGCAATTATTATTTTATTACTACTTTTATATATAATATTATTTTAAAAATAATGAAATATTTAATCAGTAAAACAATAAATTAAATAGCTTCTGTGTGGTTGATAGGCCCATGTATCTTTTGGTTATTCGATAATCATTTCAAAGACAGTATTGAGAAACGGCAAAATGGGTTGATTCTCATTTTCTGTTATTGTCAGAAGAAAAGTAAAAAAATAGCTTATAGACAGTTTTAAAAATGGAGACTGTTGAAGGTATTTTTTAATTAAAGGATCATATTTTACTTATCCAAATTGAAAATTTCCTATTACTTAACAGAAAACAGGCCTGCAGTTTGGGGCCACGCCCTTTCCTGCTGTGCAGGTCGTACAGCCACACACGCACTCCGGGTGATATCGGCTGGTGCACAGCAAAGGAGATGGTGGCGGAGCTCCTTGTCATCCTCCACTCTGATAATGCTGTCCTTTCCATTGGGTTCCTGAAGACAAGCTCCATAGGGTCCCGAGCTCACGGCTGAACATAAGGAGAGCTGGAGTGATCCCTGTCGACTCCTGCACAACAGAATGGCAAGCCAGTAGGACCAGAGGCAAATGTTGGTCAACATAAAACATTTCATAAGACCATCACCCTGAGGGTAGAGCAGCGGAGTCTTCCAGATGCCCTGCTGGTTGTAAAACAGCCATGACTGCTGACTAGAAGTGCAACCATGGCACCGTGGAGCTCCTCCTGCATGCTGAACTGGCAAAAGAACTCCTCCACAAGACTGCTCTGCCCTCATGGCTGAACTCTGGTCTAGGACTGCATACACCTCGCATTTAGTGAAATAATCCACAGCGTTAAGTGCGGTGCTACTAGGAGCGATGGCCCCAGTGCTCCTTTCTACTGTTTCTTCTTTGTAATCAGGTTGGCAATTC